TTTACAGGAGCTTGACACGTGCCTCAGCTTGATGTTACAGGTCAGTGGGAAACACATAGGTTTTTCTGTCCATCAGGCTTGGGAAGGTGGCTGACCGTGTGGAAGAAGTCACTTAATTCCTACAGAGCATTAGCCACGAAAATGAAGTCCATGTGGAATAAAGACCTACCTATGAAGCACTGAACTTCAAAACTTTTAGGATAAAATAGTTAGGAATATGTTTATGGTCTCTGAATGTGAAAGATTCCTTCGTATTCATCTCCCAGAAAGTATAACCATAAAGAAATGGGCTTTATATTAGCCTGCTAGGGCTGCTGTAACAAGTTACCACAAAGTGGGTGGTTTAAAGCAGCAGAAGTGTATTGCCTCACAGTTCTAAAGGCTAGGAGCCTGAAGTTACAGTGTTGGGAGAGCCACGTTCTCTTTTCTTATCAAATTAAATTAATTAATTACGTTGTCATTGGGAGGAAAGTTTACAGAGCAAATTCACTTTCCATACAGCAGTTCACTTTGTCTCATGACATTGACTACAATTTACTCCAATGCAACAGCTCCCCTCCCACTTCGTCCTGATAGTCACCTCTTCTTTGTGTCCTTCCTTCCATGCACTCCTGCCTCCTGAGCTGTGTCCCTGTGCATACACAGCCCTTCTATTGTACCATGATTGTTCTCTCTGAGGAGTGTATCTACCTAGAGTAAATGTTCACCTCATATGCCTGTCTTTTGTTTGGCTGGAAGCCACAGGTGTGGATTCAATTCCAGATCTGAAGGGCAGCTAGGGGCCATAGTCTCAGTGGTTCCACCAGGCTCTATCATACCACCAGACCTGGTCCCCCTTTTTTTTTTCAAATGAGTCTGAGTTTTGTTCCACATTGTTCTCCTGCTCTATCCAGGATCTCCTACATAGATCCCCCTCTGAGTGGTTGACAGTGTTAGCCAGGAACCATTAGTTCTTCTGGTCTCATAGTCCTATAGGCTGAGGATCACATGGTGTACCAGCGGCTTGGAGTAATTGTTTCCATGTGTCTTTGGTTTTCGTCACTATTCTTTGCTCTGGACGAGAAGAGACCCATCTTTGTATCTAGATGGCTGCTGGCAAGCTTTTAAGATTCCAGTTGTTACTCACCAAAGTAGGAGTGCAGCAATGTTTTGTGTAGTGTGTTATGCCAGTTGAGCTTGATGTCCCCTGCGACTATGGTCCCGAGCCCACAGGTCCAACTATTTGTTCATGTTCTCTTTTCTTTCTTTGCTTCTGGCAGCTGTGGCATAATTCAGCTGTCATATGGCCATCTGCCCTGTCTATCTGTATCTTCTCCTCTTTTATAAGGACATGCTCTGTGGTAGTTAAGTTGTGTGTCAGCTTGGTTGGGCCTGGTTTTGAGTGGCTGGGCAGCTGGATGGAGTTATTTCTCATGATGAGACTTGTCATCAGCTCCGTGGTGGAATCGACTGTAAGCAGCTGAGTGGCTGCCTGAGGAATGTGGTCTGCTTCTATTATATGAGAAGCTTTGAGAAAGATATCTGAGCTTTTTGGCAGGTGTGGACCTAGCATGTAGCCAAGTCTTCCTTCAGTAGCCTGCCATGTTTCCTGACAATCTTGGGACTGTTTCTGGATTTGGACTAATGGCCTGCCGTGTTGCTTAACAATGTTGGGACTATGCCACTTTACTTGTTGACATTGGGTTTGTCAGCCTTAGTAGCCAGCAGCTGTCTGAGTCAAGAGAAGCCTCCAGTGGGCTTCAGTGGGCTGGGAGCAAGAGGCAAAGGTCAAGCCCAAGGTCAAAGGGCCTTCACTCAGACCCTAGAGTCTGGCAGTTTGAACTTGGACTTCTAGCCTCCTGAACTGTAAAAGAATAAATCCCTGTTTGTTCAAGGCACCCGTTCGTGGTATTCTCTTACAGGAGCGTACAAAAACCAAAAGAAAAGAAAAAATTCACTGCTGTGAAGTCAATTTGACTCATAGCAACCCCTCCTTGGGTTTCTGAGGCATTGTCTCTATAGAAGTAGATTGCCCAATCTTCCTTCTGAGGAGGGGCTGATGGTGAACCACCAGCCTTCTGGTTATCAGTCAAATGCCTTAGGCACTATGCCACCAGAGTAGCATAGAGGGCCAGAACACACTCAGACTGGATTAGAACCCACCTGACTCCAGTTTGACCCCATGTTAACATAACTGATAGCATCTTCAAAGACCCTGTTTCCAAACTGCAGAAGGGCATGGGGAGGCATCTTCTGACCTCCTGTAACTTCATCAGGGGGAGAGAAAATCACCATCAGCAGCCCAAGGCTGATTCCTATGAGGCAGAGGTCAGACTAGCCACCATCCTGCAACCTTTTGGCAACTCCGATAACAACCACCCCTCCCAGAGCACTCTCTGCCACGATGGGTTCGATAACTCACTGCAGTGGCCACGCAGAACTCACAGACAATACTTACAGTTATGGGGCTTATTAGAGAGGTAACAGGTTATAATTCAGGGTCAGAAATGACTCAGGATACAGTTCCTCAGTCAGGACAGTTTCTTTTCAGCCTTGCCGCAGGCATGTTTCTCTCCGGCCTTGGCCTCTGCCCGGCTCAGGTAAGTGTTAACCAAATTCTTTTAGATCTACTGCTAGAGAGGCACTCCTTTCCACCGGCAAGCTTCTTACCCGAAGGCACGCAGCTTTCCTGATCTGCGGGCTGGAAAGCCAACTACTGAGTCTCATGCCGGTCTGTTAGTTCTGCTGCCACCATCTCTCTGCAGTCTCAGAGCAGGGATCTCAGGTCCATCTCAGCACAGGGATCTCAGGACCAAGGACACTGTCCTCTCCCGGCTCTCCTCTCTCGATGGCAGTGACATCCCTCTCTGTACTTCTGGCATGGCTCACTTTTGGCCTAGCAACATGGGAAAATGGACCAATACCACATTAGAGTGCTATACACCTTATTTCATAGTCCAACCCTCACAAGGGTGCCAGGCACCTTATGTACATAATTAACAAGCTATCCAATCCCCTTGGTGGGCCACAGGCACCTCACATTTGCATAGTCCCACCCAGTCATCTTGTGGCATCACAAAGACTATGGGTGGAAGAGCCATGTGACATAATTCACTGCACTTCACAAAGTCATGTTCACAGGTGCTGGGAATTAAGACTTCAACATGTCTTTCTGGGGACACGATTCAGCCCACAACAGACTTGTGGCTTCATTACTCATGGTTTTTCAGTGATCAGGTTGTAAAGAGCTGGTGATGGTATGGAATCTGAGTGTTATGAAGACATTTATAAAATGCTCCTTCTTTGGAATCTGTTTTGGAGTGTAGCTTAATTAGATGGTAGGGAGGCAGCTTCAGAGGACTTGTGGAAAGGAAAATTGGAGGTAATCTCACGGGTGTGAGGCAGAGCTGGGAAAGTGCATCCCCTAGGGAATCCATCCATTGTGTTTGCCCTGATCAAAGGATGCAGCTGCATTTATTCTGGGTTTCTACCCCTCATACCTCCCATCAGTGGAATATTCCTTTCTTCGGCCCCTGATGATTTCATTTTGCCTCCTCTTAGAAGTGAATGCAGGCAAACCTTGCTGTGGCTCCCGTTCTAGAAGGCCAGCCTAGTGACTGTGGTATATTGTCTGTCCAGACGGATTTTCAGATGCACAAACAATCCTCCTCTCAGGATTACTGCCTTTGCTGATCATGTCCCACCATTCAGCTGGTCTAAGCAGAATGTGTCTGGCCTCACTCTGAACTGAACTCTTAAGGGCTATGATGGTTTCTTTTCTGGTAATCTTCTTTTCAGACCTCAGCTTATATTAAGATTTCTGAGGCTATTGTCATTGGAGGCCAGCTGCACATTTTGGGAAGTTGTGCCTTTGGTGGGCACAGGTGGAAGAAAGTGAGGGGAAGGGGATTTGAGTCCAGAAAAAACCCGTTCACTGGGTAGGAGATAATACTGCTGTGAAGAGGGAGGGGTGAGAGCATCCGAAATGATAATTCAAGAGCCCTTGTGGGCACCTTGTGGGCCTCCGTCTGTTATCCATGGAGAGGCCTCCTTTCAACCAAAGTTGTAAGGGTTGCATTGAATGGTATCCCTCCAGAGTGAGTGTTGGCATCCTAACCCCTCTATCTGTGGATCTAATCCTATTTGGAAATAAGGTCTTAGTTATGTTAATGTGGCCACATCACTGTAGGTTGTGACCTATATCTAATCTCTTCGAGCTATAAAAAGAGCAGATTAACTTCTCTGGGAAACTTCAGTGCTTTTTTTTTTTTAAGCCTTCCACTGATTGGATGTGGTCCATCTACTTTGTGGAAGATAATCTCCTTTACTTAAAGTCAACTCATTGTAGATGTTAAGCCTGTTGCCATGGAGTCTTTTCAGACTCAGAGCGACTCTATAGGATAAGGTAGATCTGTCTTTCATAGAGTCTCCAAGGCTGTAATCATTATGGATTCGAACTGCCAACCTTTTGGTTAGCAGCCAAGCACTTAGCCACTGTGCCTCCAGGACTTCTTTTGTAGATATTAATTAACCATATGTGAAAAATACATCCACAGCAACATCAAGACTAGTGTTTGACCAAACAAGGGCCATAGGAACCCTGACACTCCTCAATGTCCCCTGGCTTATTCCCTCACCACCTCCACACCTTGGCCCCATGTCACTGTCTCTGTGAGGTCCACCCAGGCCACCCTATTTGATACTGAAACACATCCCACCTCTGCAGCTCACGGCCTTCTTCTTCCCTTTAGAGGATAAGCTCCAGGAGGGCAGACATCTTTGTTAATGACGTTTCCCAGGCACAGAGCCTGACTTGTAGTTGGCTCAATATGCATTTGAAATGGAGTGGCTAGCTTGCTCTGACCCATCATTGAGAACTGGGCCTCAGGGTTTCTGCACTCTTACCACTGTGCCGTGGCCACCTGTCCAGCCCTCAAGGGTCAGTGGGGCTCCCCAGGGCCATCATTCCAACTAATGATGCTTGGTCTCTGCCCTCTGACCAATCCCCCTTTTGTTTCTAGACTGGGCTTATTGTCGCCTGCTACCACGGCTTCTTGGATACTGTGGTGGCCTTAGCAGAGTGCCCCCATGTTGACGTCAACTGGCAGGACCACGAGGGGAACACGGCCCTCATCATGGCTGCTCAGGCAGGTAAGACCCAGTCCCACCCCAAAGCCTGTGCTGAAAGCAGCTCCTGTGAGGCATGGGGGCTTGTACCTCACCTTAGCTCATGAGTTTGATGCAGGAAGGGTGGAAATTGACAAGAAGACATTCTGCTATGCACAGGTACAGACGGGCTGATGGGTGTGAGTTCACATTCTTTTTGTGTGTTTGGGACAGTACAAAGTATACCCAATTGTGCAGAATTTAATATTGAGCAGATCTAGCTATGATATTGTCTTTTGGTATGAAGCTGCACTGGAGACCCAACCTTGGCAGTATGGCACCTATAGCAATGCAGCCCATTCAGCAACAGGGCAGAGGAAGATGCTGGTGAACCCACCAGTGGCCCAGACATCACGTGTTTTACCCATAATTGATGTATGAAAGCAGACATACACAGAAGGTAATGGCAAAACCTTTGACCGACTACAAGTTTAGAGGGACTAGAGTCCATAAGACCCCTCACTTCTGACAACAACTGCAAGTTCAGAAGTCTCCCAAAACTATCCCTCAGGTTTGATAACTTGCTAGCAGAACTCACAGAACTCACTGAAATCTGTTATGCTCATGGTTAAGGTGTATTACAGGGAGAGGTACAAATTAGCATCAGCAAGGGGAGAAGTACATAGGGCATAGTTTAGGACAGTTGAGCAGAGCCTCCACTGTCTTCTTCCACAGAGTCAGTGCACATCACCCTGCTGGTATCCAAGTGTGGGAGGACATGCATGGTGCTTTGCCACTCAGGGAAGGTGACCTGTGCTTCAGTGTCCAGGGTTTTTACTGGGGCTCCTTTTTATAGGCAAGCCTCTGACAACACAAACAGTGTGCATTTGACTACTAACCAGAAGGTTGGCAGTTCAAACTCACCCAGCAGCACCATGGAGGAATGACCTGGTTATCTGCTTCCATTAAGATCATAACCAAGACATAACACACTATACAAAAACATTGTTCCACATCCTACTTTGGTGAGTAGCAAATGAGATCTTAAAAGTTTGGAAGCAGCCATCTAGATGCAAGGATGGTCTCTCCTCGTCCAGAGCAAAGAAGAATGAAGAAAACCAAAGATGCATGGAAACAATTAGGCCAAGGGACTGGTACACCATGTGATCCTCAACCTATATGACTATGAGACCAGAAGAACTAGGTGATGGCCAGCTACCACTGTCAACCACT